AGCAAGACCCTGCCACTACAAAAAAAAAAAAGTTTCTTAATTAGCCAGGTGAAGTGGTGTACTCCTGTAGACTCAGCTACATAGGAGGCTGAGGTGGGAGGATCACTTGAACCCAGGAGTTCAAGGTTGCAGTGAGCTATGATCACACCACTGTACTCCAGCCTAGGTAAGGCCCTGTCTCTAAAAACAAAACAAATAAAAAGCCAAGGAGCGCTGATTCAGATGTACTATAAAGGCCACCCTAGCAAGAGACAGCCACATTTATAAGTCCTGACAGGGACCTGAAATAGCAATGTGGTGACAGGAAGGGAGAACTTAGCGAGATTGGGTGGTTCATGAGGCATCCGCTGGATGCATGAGTAGTTGTTTCCTATTGGGGCTGTTAACAAATTACCACAAACTGAGAGGCTGAAAACCACACCAATTTATTATCTTACAGTTCTAGAGGTCAGGAGTCCAAAATGATTTCCACCGGGCTGAAGCTGTGTCAGTGCGGCTTTGTTTCTCCACGGAGGCTCTGGGGCAGAATCCAATGCCTTTTTCAGCTCCTCCAGGGGCCACCTCATCGCCTGGCTCTGGGCCTTCTTGCCATCTTCAGAGCCAGAAGCTTCCTTGCTTCACGCGCAGACCCTCCTGACTCCCTTTCCCTTATAAGGGCCCCCATGATTACTCGGGGCCCACCTCAACCACCCAGGGTCATCTCCCCACCATGAAATCCTGAACTGAAGCAGAGGCGCCGGGTCCCTTTTGCTATACAAGGTAACACTTTCCCAGGTTCTGGGGTTCAGAACCTGGACCTCTTTGGTGGCTGTTATTCCACCCACCACCGTCGTCAGTGAGGCGCCCTAAGGAGGGGCTGTGAGGTCACGTGAGGTCGGCTTCGGAAGGGCTAGGTTTGAGTGCCTGGAGGACACCGGCAGGAGGCGCCCCTGGGCTCCATTGATTTACCATGCACTCACTCAGCACCCCTGAGAGACCATCCCTGGGGCCTACAGGTGAACCCTGTACCTCAGCCCTGACACCTGCTTTCCACTTCCGGACCTTTCTGAAATCAAGACGCATCTTTAGATCAATGGCATCTTACTGTGTCACTGGCAGGCCTCTTCTTTCTTAGTGATGTTTAAAGGAAGGTATCTTACCCCTGATGGCTTCTTGGAGTGAATGAAATTCCAGTGTGAGCAGGCACTAGAGCAGGCCTCACAAGAGCGTCAGGTAACCCCACTCCGCCCTGGCCCCCAAGTCTTTCCTAGTTGCTCGTCTGGCCCTTTCTGCCCTGGGATTCCAAGTGTCCTGCAGCTCCGGTGCCCAGATCCCCGTAACTAACGGACGGCACTAAAGCCACACACACGCTCAGCTCTACAACCACAGTGGGGTCCAGGAGCCAGCCCTCCTGCTAGCGGTGCCTCAACCATGGGGGTCAGACCCAGGGGCTCTCTCTCGGCCTGGCTGCAAACTGAAAACACCTAGGGGCTTCCGAAATACCCAATGCCTGGGCCACAACCTAGACCAGCTCAATCCGAATATCCAAATAGATATTACAGCTCCCCAGGAGATTCCAAAGGGCAGCCAGAATGGAAAACCGGAAGAAACCATCTAACGTGGTGCAAGGTAAGGCAATGCTGGTAGGGGGTAGGGGGTGGAGGGTGCCAGGCCCAGGCTATAGAATTACACCCATGCCTCTGCCACCAAACTCTGAATTCCTGGAAGGGGACCAGCCCAGCTACCTCAGTTTCCTGAAGGCACTAGCCCTGTGCCAGGCACCTAGTGGGGCCGAGAGAATGTAGGCCGCAGGGCCTCAAAGGCCAGGCAGCAAAGGCTTTGTGCCAAGAAAGGTCTGGGAAAGGAGCCCACTGGTTCTGGGCCAGCCCTTTGATTCCTGTGACCTCCAGTGAGTCACTGCCCCTCTGTGCCAGTACAACGCACGCTTGGCCCACGCTTGGCCACTGAGTTTGCATTTCACTGAAGGGCTATGGGAATGACTGCAAGGAGAGAAGAAAGCCAGGCTAGGGAAGATACTGGCTCTCAGAACCTTAGGGATCTCGGTCTTGGACCACTCATCCCACTTCTGCCCAGTGTCTATGGAGCTTGAGAGGGTGGAGCAAGAGTAAAACGTTTCCATGCCCACCCCCAACAGGGACCCAATGTCTTCTCCATGCCCCGGTCCTTCCAGGCCTAAAAGCTCCACTTCTGGGGCTCCATCCCCTGGTGGCTACAAGGACAAAGAATCTGACATCCTGAAAGCCAAAGACCTAAGGGGAATCAAACAAGAAACCTCAGAGAGGAACACAAAGTAGCGCAGTTGGGGGTGTTTACACAGCAAGCAGAGTCCAGGCAGTGAGGCCACAGGACACCTGACAGGCACCTCCAAAGAAGATCTTCATGGGAGCAAACACTCAGGGACCAAGGCAAGTCCAAAGTGGCTGTGGAGAAGGCCCCTGGCTTCTGGCCGTCAGCACAGCCAAGGCCCCAACACACAACTAAAGGCTTTTATTGGGAAAGGGAAATTGACTGAAAAATGGCCTCCAATTTCCTCACTGCCTGAGACACTTGGTGCCTCCTCCACAAAGTCCAGGAAAGAAGGACCCACCAAACTGGGCCCCCAGCAGGCTCAGGTGTAGAGCTCAAAGTCAATGCGTTTGGAGTTGTAGAACTGACCACCAGGGGGGTCCAGCTTCCGGCAATAAACACCGTCCGGGAAGTAGCCTTCACTCACCCAGGTCTGCAAGGAGAGGGCAGAGCTGGGGAAGGACTGACAGGAGTAGGGGAAGCAGGGACAAGCCAGAAGGAGGGAGAAAGCAGCTCACCTGCATCTGGGCGCTGGTGAAGGGCCCATACAGCTCGGCATCCCCCGTGTTCTCCCACTTATATTCCCACATCACATCCACCAGACCATCTCCTGGCGACTCTGCTTCTAAAATAACAGGCAAAGCCATTTGACCTCCGGTGTCTCACTTCCCGCCCACTGCCCCCTCCTCTGTCCTCCAAGCTTACCTCCTCTCTGGGTAGGGGTTGGGGTTTCCAGTTCCTCCTCTGCCACTTCCTCAGCGAACATGTCCAGGGAGGGTGGGGGTGTGGGATTGTGGGGTCCCACGGTCTGACACCCCAAACCCTTCAGCCGCATAGCCAACCGTTCCCTTGTTTCCTGGTACACGCCAAGGTTGCCCCGGGCCACCATCTGGTCGGCCAACCCGGAGAGCCGGTCCAGGCGCTGAGGGGAACTGGGACGCCCAGGCCCCTTGCTGCTCCCTTTGCCTCCTCCTCGGGCCCCCAGACGCCTCAGTGCCCCAGCCACTGTCTCTCTAGGCAACAGAAGCTCCAAAAGTCCCTCCAAGAGGGCTTGGGCACTCATTGGGGTCTGGCCCAAGCTGTCTTCCTCCTCCGAGTCTGAGGCCTGGTGCTGGCCAGGTGGCCGCTCCCGGATCTTCACCTGTCATGGAAAGATGCAGTGATTTCCCACGAACTGCCATGGGAGCAGGCCTAGCATCCGCCACTCCCCGGCCCCAGCCACACCAGCCCCTGGGCCTCACCCAGTCAATGTTGTCCAGCCAGCTGTCTCGGATCTGAGCATCCCGGTTCAGGAAGTAGTTGCCATCAGCATCAAAGTGTCCTTCCTCCATCTCCTCCTGCAGGTTAAAGGGTGTGATCCGAACACCCCCCTCGCTGGGGAGTGTGGCTGCCTCCTGACCTGTACCAAAGACACAGGTGCCCTTTTCTAGGCATGGAAAAGAGAGACCGGAGCCTCCCTCGCTCCACACCACCAGAGGCCCCTACTTGTTTCTCCAGCAGAGTGTATTCTTGGGTACAGCTCACCTTCTACATCCTCTGAGGCCAGGATGTCGTATTTGCTGGACCCCCCATCATCATCATCCTCCTCATCGCTATCCAAAGAGTGTTTGCCTTTGAAGCGGCTCCCAGGACCCCCTGACCCAGCCACAGGGTCCACCAGCTGTGAGCAGGAGTCAAGTCAAGAAATGCAGGTTACTGGCTACCTCCCCAAATACTTCCGGATCTGGACCCAAATATTCCCCAAATATTTCAGGATCTCGACTACTTCCCCAAATATTTTAGGACCCACACTGAAGATGCTCCCAACCCATTCCTCAGAGAACCTGAAAAAACTAGGCTTTTCTCTGCCTGCCCGCCCCGCCCCACTCCCGCCAGCTTTCTTTCTCCTCAGGCTTCTAGCTCCTCTCTTTCCCCCACACAAAGGAGTCTGGCCCCCTCACCTTCTTCTTGGGGACACTGATTTCATCCTCATCTTCCTCATCTCCCACGCCTTGGAAGGTCACTTTCCTCTTTGGCATGACGGGGCAGAGAGGTGTTTCTCAAGCTGAGGAAAGGATACAGAGAAAGAGAATGGGGTGAGGAGGGGACTCGCCACCAGAGGACCCAGCACAGCAAATATTTTTCCTGGTCTGTGACAGGTACAGTTTGGGAGCGGAGGGAGCACAAAAGCAAGGGCTGAAGAGAAGCTGGCAGCCAGGAGGCCTGCAGGACTTGGGTCTAGCATCCGCGAGTTAAATGGGGTGGGGACGGAGGAGCGGACCCTCTGGATCCCCTGACCCTGGCCAACAGGGGACAGACTTCACCACGTGACCGCTCCCAACTCCAGCCCCCGCAGTCTGGGCGCCACCGGCTCGACCGGCTGACCCCCGCCTCCTACTCTGGCTCTCTCGGAGCTCGCGGGGCCCGGGCAGACCCAGGACCTGGCGCTCTCGCCACCCCGTTCCTCCCTGCTCCGAACTCCCAATTCCGTGTGGTGAGCCCCAACTGTCCCGGGCTGTGTACAAATTAGAGGGCCACGGGGATCCGGGCTGTCCCACCCTCGCGCGCTCACCTGGGACTCCGCGGGAGGCGAGGTGGCGAAAAGAAGAGATGCTTGCGCCAAGGCTACATCCGGGGCACCCGGCCGCCATCACCCGGAAGAGGACTGTGGAAGGCGCCTGGGAAGCCCGGAAGTGGCTTCACTCGGGTTAGAGAACTAACTGGAAGAGCGGGCGGAAGTACGCGGTGAGCGAGGGAAGACGCCTCCACCCTCTCTCCCGCAAGAAGTGACGTCAGTCGCGTGGGAGGACAATGGCGAGAAGAGGGGACCTGTGAATGCCTACACTCTGACCGGGCGTGAGAAATGGCCGGAAGTACCTTCGATTCCCTCATTCAAGCAGTAGAGGCTCTGGAGAAAAACGAGAGCATCTACTTAAAGGGTCGCCCAGGGTCAGGATGGAGGGGCAAAGTCCGAGCAGGGCCAGTGGGTCGCTGCCCCGTTTTCCTGTGCTGGGTTCGAGTCACCCTTCCACCAGGGCTGAGGGCTCAGCGCCCCTACCGTCTCGTTAGAAATCCTGCCTTCCCACTCCTGTGGTCCGGTGGTAAGCTCTCCTATCTGAGAGGTGGAGCCTTGCCCTCCCCGAGGGGAAGCCTGGCTCTCCCGATGGCCAGCCCGGGGCCCCTGGACGGCTCTCGGGGCACTTTCTGGACACAGCTCCCTTTAGGACCCAGGGGAAGTCATTTGTCCCACGCCCATACCCTGGGCGAGTTCCTGGCTTCTGAGGTGGGAGAGCCATCACTGGAGAGGTGGCATTGGCACCAGTACCCAGGCCAGAAGTCCCTTGTGCCCTGCTCTCAGATAGGCCTGGAAAAGGGCAACAGTGCCTCTCTGTAGCATGAAGCCCCTCTGAGCAAACAGGGCCTAACACCACGGCCTGGAAAAGGGCAACAGTGCCTCTCTGTAGCATGAAGCTCCTCTGAGCAAACAGGGCCTAGCAACTCGTTCCCAGGTAACAGAATGTGGCCCAAGCAGAAGCGGGACTGGGGGAGGTGGCGGGGGGTCAGCCCCTGTACTGGAACCTCTAGCTCTTGAGGACACTCGGAGCCTGCATCCCCCTAAGCCAAGACTGTCCAGGCGGCACCTGCTGGAGCCAGACGAGGACAGTGTGAGAGTTCCCCTACTCTTCCCCAAGGCAACTAGATGGGCCACTTCTCTCTCCCTAGGGATTTCCTCCCATATTGGATCACGATGGAACTGCACAGAAAGTCCATGCTCAGTTTCTTCCATGGTTACAGAACACAGGCCCCAGACCAGGAAGGCATGTTGCTAAAGAAGGGGACCCGAAACCTCAGCTACCAGCACCGATGGTTCATCCTCCAAGGAAACCTCTTCTACCTAGAACACCAGACCGATCATGCACCCCTGGGCCTCATCCCGTTGGAGAACTGCCAGGTGGAGCTACACCTTAAGAACCCTATGCCTTTACCATCCTGACTCCTGGGGTGGGCGGGCCTACAAGCTGGCTGCAGAAACCCAGGAAAACCTGGAGACTTGGCTGTGGGCACTGGCTGGTGTGAGCTGGAGGTGGCTGGCTGGGCTGCTGCCCCCACTCAAGACCTAATACCGGGAGCTGTGCCAGGCAGCTGGCCAAGAACCCATCTCATGCCCAGAGGACACTGGCTTTCTAGCCACCATGAGTACCCGTTCCAGCTTCCAGGAGTTGCATGAGCACTTTGGGAAGCAGATCTGGGTGCTGCAGGTGGTACCTAGAGAGCTCCAGGCAGCCAGTGACAATGGAGACAGCACATCCCAGGCAAAGCTGGAGTAGGAGCTCAACCAGTGTCTGATGAGTGACTTGAGAGATGGACCCAAAGCCAAGAGATACCTACTTGCCAAGACAGCAGACTGTTTTAACAGAGACCCAGGTCCTGGCTCTGTCTCTCCCTCCCTCCCTCATCCTTACCCCACCCCAACCCCCATCAAGTAACAAGGCAGGAGACAGACTCAGGTACAACAGCAGGTTCTTTTCTGATTCCTCAAAGCGCTGCATGGGGTGGGGGCAGAGACAGAAGAGAATGTAAACATTGGGTTCCACCCCCTGGAGCTCAAGGGAAGACCCTTACCCAGATAGGGACTAACTGGAGGGGTGGAAGGGAACAAGGTGAAAGGTAGGGGTCCTGGTGAGACAAAACAGGGGGGCCTGAGAACACAGAGCAAGGTGGGTTTGGAGGGTGCACAGCAGGGTGCGGGAAGGGATATGGGGGACATTTCCTATTCCAGTGCATGTCCCCTTAAATAAACTGGGTACAGGAGCATTATGGAAGGAGAACCAAAGGACAGAAGACAAAAGCGAGCATCCCCACCCCAGGCCAACCCCATCCTCTGTACATAATTACAACACAGAAAGGTCCAGAAGGAGAGCCCAGGCCAGGAATTGGAGACAGGGAGGGCTGAAGACAGGGAAAAGGAAGCCAGCTCCACCTCATGGTAAGGGGAGCCATGGAGTGTAAGAATTTGAAACTGCTGACTCCCATCACCAGGAGTCACCCCTGGGATGACAACGGGCCAATCAGGACAGCACCTAGTAGGGGACCCAGAGGGAACTGGGGCAGGAGCGACAAAGACCCCAGCTGAGCCTCATGGGAGATGAGAGGCTCCAGACTCGTTTGCAGCTGCCCATCTGTCCTGCCCGTGTAGGGATCAGCGGCTGGCGAGGAGATGGGGAACCAAGCCACTTTCCCCAGTGAGGGACAGCCTGCCGAAGGGCTAGGGGGTGGCACCTCGGGCCAGGCCTGCTCTTGGCTGAGGGAAAGAAGGGGGCCATGCAGTCCAGCCCCAGGGCAGAGGTCAGAAGTAAGCGTCCTGCCGGGCCTCGGCTGCTGAGGGCTTGTCCCCACCATCGTGGGGGCCTGGGGGCCCATCTGCCTTTCGACGCAGCGAAAGCTTCCGGCCTTGAGCCTTCTTCTCCTGCTTCTGCCGCTCCTTCTCCTGCTTCTCCCGCTCCTTCTCCTGCTTCTCCCGCTCCTTCTCCTGCTTCTCCCGCTCCTTCTCCTGCTTCTGCCGCTCCTTCTCCCTCTCCTTCTCCCGCTCCTTCTCCTGCTTCTGCCGCTCCTTCTCCCGCTCCTTCTCCTGTTTCTGCCGCTCCTTCTCCTGCTTCCTGGTCTCCTTGCTGGAACCCAATGGGGTGCTGTTGCCAGTGGGTGAGGGAAGGGATGGATGCAGTCCCTCAGCAGTGACCACAGGCCCTGGGGCAGGCCCAGCACTGGCCCTGCGGACGGGAGGCGGTGGGGAGGGGGCCCCTCCAGCAGCCCTGGAGCCTCGGCTCTTGAGACCAGGGAGGCTGAGGAGGCTGGAGGAGGGGCCCAGGGGTGGCTGTTGCCGCCGGCGCTCCTCATGGATGGCCCGGGAGCCATGCAGTCGCCGTGAGGGCCGATACTGCAGCTCCCCCCGTGTTTCCCGCCACTTCTTGAGCTGGGCTGCATTCTCCCTCTCAATGAGTGCTTCTGTCACTGGCAGATTGGTCACCTGGACAGAGAGGAAGTGCATACCAGAATGGAGCTGAGGGTGGGAGCGGGCTGATGCAGGCAGGGGCTGTGCTGAGGGTGCAGGCCTACCTCGTGCACCAGGAAGTCCTCCTGCATGCACTGCTGGGGCAGGTTACGCAGCTGCTCCATGGTCTCATACATGCCTTGGCAGGAGCGCAGCTTCTCCACCGAGCCCAGCGTGTGGCGCAGCAGGACCAGGGCCACCCGGAAGATGATCTTAACGCCTGCAGGGGTGAAGAGTAGAGAGCACAGGGTGGTCAGACCCAGGATCTCAGCCTGTCCTGATTAGGACGGACTCACAGCCCTCATCCCCATCTACTGCCAATCTCAGATGAGGAAACTGAGGCCCCATGAAAGGAAATGAGCTGCTATCAGTCTCAGGATCTTGGCAGGGAGAGCAGGCTCTAGGTTGGTGGCAGAACCAAAATCAGGCCTGTTTCTCCAGCCCCCAGCTGCTTATGGTGAAACTTCCACCCACAAGTACCTTTTGTCCAGGGACCACCAGAAATATGACAGAACCCCTGGTAGCCACCATAGCCCCTCATGGCCTGGAGGGCCACAGAAGTACCTTCACAGAAAAACATGTCCCAGACACGCAGCACCGATGCCCAGGGCAGGGTACGGGCGAAGATGCACATGAACCACTCCGTCATGTAGAGCACAGGGTCGATGCGCTGCCGCCGCAGGTGGCGATGTGCCAGTGGAGAGGCCCGGCGCAGGAGCGCAAAAAAGATCTCCCCGTCCAGCTGAATGGCCTCCTACAGGTGGGACAAGTCATGAGAAGAGGGCTAAGTCAGCTGTGCCCCCATCAGGGGAGAACTGGCAGGCCCTGTGGGCAGAGGCTGAGAAGGCCAGGGTGGGGCAAGGCAAGGACCTCCCTGCAGCCTGGAGGAAATGCCACAGCTCTGGATGCACCCAGCCTTCAGACACTCACCAGCCCTGCACTGTAGTAACCTGGCAGGTACTTGTCGCAGATCTGCACCAGGCACCAAAAGGCTTGCTGAGAAGAGCAAGAACAAGGAGGAAGGGTGGGGCCTGAGAAGCAGGGAGCAGGGAGCTCCCCCATCACCACTGCAGGCTGAGATCCCCCCTGCCCCTCCCGGCCCAGAACCAGGGAGCTGACCTCCGCAGGCATGTGCATGAGCAGGACCGCGGCCACGGGGGCCTGGGCCTGGCAGTAACCCTCGTCAGGCCGGTAGATGGTGTAGGCCTTCAGGATTCGGTACAGGTCCTGTTGCCTGTGGGGGTTGGGGAAGACCATGAGGGCAGTCACAGGGGCCAAGAGCTCTGTTCCCAAGCCCAGTTCCAGATTCATCCCAGAGCTTTACTACCAGGACCTTCCATCCACCTGTCCAGTCCTGCTGAGCAAGCTTCAGCTAAAGGCTCAGCCCACAGCAGAGCACTCCAGGCCCCAAGGCTCCGCCTTTGGCTACACACTCCACATGCTCCCTGCCATCCCAGCACAGGCTGCACCCTCACCCTCCTTCCTCTGCCACATCCCAGAAACCTTCCAGGTCATTTTCTCCAGGAAGCTTTCCACAGCCGCAGCATCAGCCCTCCTCTAGCACTGAATGTCTTTGTTACCGCAAAGCAGGAGCTCCCCAGAGCAGGGCCTGCCTTATGGGTCTCACTGGATTTCATGGCTCTTGGGGAAGGCTTGGAAGCCAGCTGTGCCTCAGCCCTTTCTCTTGTCTCTGCATACAAAAGAATAAAATCTGCACCCTAGACCTGCTCCTCTTGAGGGTGCCCCACTGCCATGTCCAGGACTTCCATTCACTCAGCCCCACATCAGAAAAGAGCCTCTTCCTCCAAGCCTAAGCAGCATTGCACCCTGAATTCCACTCCTGCCTGCTCTCTACCTCCACAGCCATTCGCAGCTCAGACTTCCATTTCTTGCCCAGAAAAAATGACCTCCCAAATCCTCTCCCTGCCTCCAGTCTCACACATCCTCCTCCTGACCAGTGCTCAGAATAGCTTTTCCCAAAACTCCAGGCATTCAAGTGTGATCTTCATTTGTATTTTATCTGCATACCACCCTACTTTTTTTTTTTTTTTTTTTTTTTTTTGAGACGGAGTCTCACGCTGTTGCCCAGGCTGGAGTGCAGTGGCGCGATCTCGGCTCACTGCAAGCTCCGCCTCCTGGGTTCACGCCATTCTCCTGCCTCAGCCTCCTGAGTAGCTAGGACTACAGGCGCCCGCCACCGCGCCCGGCTAATTTTTTGTATTTTTAGTAGAGACGGGGTTTCACTGTGGTCTCGATCTCCTGACCTTGTGATCCGCCCGCCTCGGCCTCCCAAAGTGCTGGGATTACAGGCTTGAGCCACCGTGCCCAGCCAACCCTACTATTATTTACTTGACATTTTTTCTCCACTTTGCAAAAGCATCCACGAAATGACAGGTTTGATAATGGTTATTTTACCTAATGCATATTAAAATAAATATGTAACTTCCACAAGCGCCCACGCCCATCACCCACCTGCCTGCTTCTGTGTCCCTGCCTTCTCCCTGTTGCTATGGGTGAAGAGTCTGTGATCCTGGCAAGCACTTCCTTTCCACTTGGGCCCAGGATCCCATCCCCTCTCGCCTGTACAGGCCACCACTCCAACAGCCCTCCCCTTGCTCCTGCACTATCAATTTCTCTCTCCACTACACCATTCCCACAAGCATACCTACGTGCTGTTATTTCTTTGAGTTTCAAAAAAAAAAAAAAAAGGTCTCTTCGCCAGGCACAGTAGCTCAGGCCTGTAATCCCAGCACTTTGGGAGGCCAAGGTGGGTGGATCACCTGAGGTCAGGAGTTTGAGACCAGCCTGGCCAACATGGCAAAACCCCATCTCTACTAAAAATACAAAAATTAGCCAGGTGTGGTGGCGGGCACCTGTGATCCCAGGTACTTGGGAGGCTGAGGTGGAAGAATCACTTGAATCCGGGAATCTGGGAGGCGGAGGTTGCAGTAAGCCAAGATCACACCACTGCACTCCAGCCTGGGTGACAGAGCAAGACTGTCTCAAAGCAAAACAAAAAAAACAAGTCTCTTTACCCCTCTCCTCTCTCCAAATACCACACTGTTTCTTTCCCTACCTATAAATTCACTGTCCTCAATCTCTTTCCTCCCATTCTCCAGTCAGGGTTTCACCCACTGCTCCACACAAAACTGTTTCTGTTTGGAGACAAGAGTTTCACTCCCCTTGCCCAGGCTAGAGTGCAATGGCGTGATTTTGGCTCACTGCAACCTCTGTCTCCCAGGTTTAAGCAATTCTCCTGCCTCAGCCTCCCGACCACGCCCGGCTAATTTTCTTTTTTTTTTTTTTTTTTTTTTTGAGACGGAGTCTCGCTCTGTCACCCAGGCTGGAGTGCAGTGGCCGGATCTCAGCTCACTGCAAGCTCCGCCTCCCGGGTTCACGCCATTCTCCTGCCTCAGCCTCCCGAGTAGCTGGGACTACAGGCGCCCGCCACCTCGCCCGGCT